TCCTCCCTGGACTGACCTATCTCCTCCCTACCTCCCCACCGACCCTCACCTTTACTGGCTCCATCCCCGCCTCTTTGACCTGTCTGTCTCCTCTCCACCTTATCTTCACCTCTATTCATCTTCTATCCGCCTCCCCCTCTCTCCCTATTTATTTCAGAACCCCCTTCCCCTCCCCCATTTCTGAAGAACGGTCTAGACCCAAAACGTCAGCCTTCCTGCTCCTCTGCTGCTTGGCCTGCTGTGTTCATCCAGCTCTACACCTTGTTATCTCTACTCTGCCTCTGCAATTTTCTTCATTCTCAGATTCTCATTGGCTGTCTTTTCCCTTATAACACCAGTGGTCCATTTTCATATCAACCATCTAGCACCCACTTTGCAGATTATGCATAGTTTTATGTTTAGCCTACTCCCATTTAAAAACTGCCTACATTCATTGTGGCACAGAGACCTAAAGTCTGCAGACAGACAGGAAGCTTTTAACCAAATCCAGATAACACTGTCCGTACTTGTTTGTGCCCTGCAGCCTCTTGGGAATTGAATCAGTAATTAGCATATCCCTTGGCAGTATTAGCTGGTGGTTAATGAGAATCATTTGATTTATAGGTTCTCTGCCATATTTGGCATTTTATTCCTTTTTCACTGCTTGCACTGAAATATAGAAGCAAACGCTGTGGTTGTTTGTTGTTGCAGAGAGTGTATGACGAAGAAGTGGAAGAAGCAGCTAAACCAGAGAGCGGAGGGAAACCAGTTGAGCCGGTATGTAACCAGGCTGGGATCTTCATATTTTGACGTGCAAGTACTGAAGAATTTAAGACTTTTTGAAATAAATTGTTTGGTTATAACTTTTTTTCAGTTTTTGGTTTTGGGTTATTAGCACTTATAGTGGTCACTGTTCTAATTACCTTGAAGTGTATAGGATTGTTTGACTTGAGCCAGCACAGTCATGAGCTGCTGTAATTATCACTGCTGTAGTTAGGCTAGGGCTAGTTGAGATCAATCAGTCAGGGTTCTTATTCCTGTTGGCTGAGTGTTGTAACCTTCTTACTGGAATAGTTGTAGGTATGGGCCTTTTTAGAACTGAAATATACAAAACCTGCATTGGACATGCAAAAAAGTAAATTTGAGAATTGTTTAATCCTGAGATGAAGGCAAGCTTTAGATGTTACTGTTTACATTTTATTAATTTGTGGGATGTGGGTGGCGCTGGTTGGCCAGCATTTATTGCCTGTCCCTAGTTGCCTTGAGCAGGTGGTAGTGAGCTGCCTTCTTGATCCGCTGCAGTAAACCTGGTGTGGGAGGGAATTCCAGGATTTTGATGCATGAACAGTGAAAGAACAGCGATATATTTCCAAGTCAGGATTGTGGGCGCCTTGGAGGTGAGCTTGCAGTTGGTGGTGTTCCCATGTATCTGCTGCCCTTGCACGTCTAGATGCGAGTGGATGTTGGTTTGGAAAGTGCTGTCTATGGAGCCTTGGTGAATTTCTGTAGTGCATCTTGTAGTTAGTACACACTGCTGCTTTTGGATGTGGAGTGAACGAATGCTTGTGGATGTGACACCAATCAAGTGGGCTGCTTAATCCTGGGTGGTGTCAAGCTTCTTGAGTGCTGTTGGAGCTGCAGCCATTCGGGCAAGTCGGGAATGTTCCATCACACTCCTGACTTGTGTCTTGTAGATGGTGGGCAGACTTTGGAGAGTCAGGAGGTGAATTACTCGCCTCAGTACTCTTAGCCTCTGCCCTGCTGTTGTAGCCACTGTTTTGTGGCGGGTCCAGTTGAGTTCTTTGTCATACGATTACCTGAGATGTCAAACCGTTGTGCAGTTGCGTAATTCCATGCCTTAGAATGGTGATTTTTTTTTTGGTAAAGGTGCACTTGCTCACTACACTCAGGTTTTTGGCTGTGATGTTTGTTTTGTGCAGGAGAGAACACGAGAGCAAAAGGAGGCAGAGTTGATCCCCAAGGTCCAAGAAGCTGTGCGCCAAGGGCTGAGTGTGCTGGACTCTGCCTTCGAGCAGCTGGATATAAAAGCTGGAAACTCTGACTCTGAGGATGAAGAAACGAATGAACGAGTTGAACATCTATTGGAACCCAAGGTGAATGGAGACAGCTGGCAGTCTGACTAATGGGAAGGAGAATGATTATATCTTCACTTATGATGTGAAAGTGCCGGTGTTGAACTGGGGTGGACAAGGTCAGAAGTCACATGATACCAGTTTATAGTCCAACAGGTTTATTTGAAATCACAAGCTTTCTAAGCACTGCTCCTTCATCAGGTCACTTCACCTGACGAAGGAGCAGCGCTTTGAAAGCTCACGATTCGAAATAAACCTGTTGAACTGTAACCTGGTGTCATCTCTCTCCACTTAGTTCAACCTCAAGTCATCCTGACTGCCTCTCCAAGTGGAAATTGTTAATTGTGGCCATAAACTATCTTAACATGTCTGTATTCCCCTTGAATCTCTACTTTCTCTTCTTTCTTAACGTTCACACATGTTGCCAGCAATGTATACCATTCACATGATGTACTGCAGCAATTCACCAAAGCTCCTCTGACATTACCTTTCAAACCCATGATTTCTACCACTTGCGAGTGCAAGTGCATTTGGATGTTCCCCTCCAAGCCCCAAGTCATCCTAAAGTGGTACTAAACTAATGCAAAATACTGTGGATGATAGATATCTAAAGTTAAAACAGCAAGTATTGCAGAAACTTAGCTGATCTGACAGCATTTGTGAAAGGAAAACAAAGTTAATGTTTCGTTTCACAGATGCTAATGGATCTGCTGAGTTACTATGCCTCTTTGTTTTTATTTCAGATATGGAATTATATTGCTGTTCCTTCACTGTCACTAGGTAAAACCCTAAAATCCCCTCCCTAAAAACCCTATGAGTGTACCAAAATGAGTCTTAGCCTACTCCCATTAGAAACTGTTAAGCATAACACTGCATAGAAGTTTCAAACAGTAGCTGCCAGATAGCTGGTATGAGAATGGGGGCAGCTGGTGTTGGAAAGGGGAGGACGTGCCAATCAGTGATTCAAGAAGGTGAATCACCACCAATTTCTCAGGTAATGCATCACTGGCTAAGCCAGCATTTTCTAGCACTGTGAACAAGTAAGTTTTTAAAAAAAACTTTTAGGAAGAAAAGCTTGCATTTACGTAGCACCTTTAATGAACTCATGATGTGTCAAAATACTTCTCAAAAGATAAGTACTTTAGTATTTAGTCACTTTTGGAAGTAGCAGTGGAATTGAGTTCTGGCAGAGCATCTCTGGTGCAATTGTAAACAAACCCAGCCGTAGAGCTCACATTAGCAGTAGCGAGGAGACACCTGATACTGCCCCTATGTAATGGTCTGTGTAAGTTTTTTAATAGAACCACTATCCAGTAGAATCACTGTGTTTTAGCTTTCTCAACGTGCACCCCCCTCACGTGTGCAAGGGCCAATCTTAATCTTGTGGCATTAACCTCTTCACAATCCATAGGTTTATGCAGTCAAAAAAAAGCTGGAATCATTCTGGTTTGTCTGATTTACAAGTGTGGGTGTGTTCTGGTTGCAAGGAAGAGGCTGTGTATGTATCACCTTGACAGGATATGAGGACGCTATGTAATGAGATAAGGTTAGGAAGGCTGGCCTTGTATTCATTGGGCTTTAGAAGAGAAAGATGATCTTATTGAAATGTACAAGATCCTGAGGGGACTTGCCTGGGTGGATACAGGAAGTATATTTCCCCTTGTGGAAGACATTAGAACTGGGGAACACATTTTAAAAATAAGGGTCTCTTATTCAGGACAGAGCTGAGATTTTTTTTTTTCTGAAGATCATGAGTCTGTGGAACTAGCTTCTCCAGAGCTGTGGAGGCGGGGTCAGTGAATGTTTTAAAGTGGAGGTAGATTGATTTTTGACTAATAAAGACCACTCAGTCATTGCCCCTACCACTGTTCTCAGTCTCCACATCCCCAGATTATTGGAATGCTGAAGCTGCTCACGGATGATCCAAAGGATTTGGGCAGGCCACAATTTGGTAAAATAATCACCTGGACAATAGCTATTATGTTCCCTACCCAATAGCTTTGCTGAAGTATTAATACATCCCCTTCCAAATGCGATGAAGGATGGTCAACAAATACAACTTTTCCATTGTTGCTTACACGCTCAAGACAAATTTATAAAATTGCCCTTTCACTGGGAGCGAAACATTTTCGGGGATGGTGGTCCCTCTCTGGCCCTCAACAAAAAGAGGCAGCTTAAAAAAAAAAAAAAAAGTTCAGTCAAATGCCAGGGCTAAGTTTACACATTAATAAAATATTAGAATGGTGAAGCTCAGAACTGAAGATTGTTTCGCATCCATGTAGCACCTCAAATGCACAAATTACTCGAGTCTAATCCTTGATTCTGCTTAGTTAAATTATTGGTGTTAGTCGCTCATAATGCCGTTTGTGCCTCACGTTTTGTGTGAGGGATGATTATGTGGCATTCTAATGAGCAATGTATCAGTGTCTGCATCAACAGTTCTAAGTTTTAGAAACAGTAGCACTTACTTGATTTAAGGGGAGTTGGATGTATAATTTAAAAAGAAATTCTTCCACAGCTACAAGGAGAAGTGTAGGATAGTAGTGGATTAATTGGTTAGCTCTTTTCAGGCTTAATTGGATCCTGCGGTGAGGATTCCTGTTTCAGGATAGTAAAAGCAGGAGAATAACAGATTTTTTAAAAAATGAGAAAAGGGAAAAAGAGAGCATTTCCAAAAGCTCTGTAGGGTAGATTCAGTGATCCAGCTCTGGTGACAGAATGATAAGTTTTACTTCCTACTCCTGATTTGATTTATTGTTGTCATGTACCTAAGTACAGTGAAATGTTTTGTTTTACAAGCAGGGCAGCTCATAGCAAGCGAAGACATACAGATCAAAGGGTGTTTAGATGGATCGAGGCACACAAGGTTAAGACTGCCACAGGAGGTGTACAAAGTCAGTATTTGATTTGAAATTAGAGGTCCATTCAGCAATCTAATATCAGTGGGGCAGAAGTTGTTCTTGAGCCTGTTGGTGCGTGTGTTCAAGCTTCTGTATCTTCTGCTTGACAGAAAAGGTTGGAAGAGAGTATTACCGGGATGGGAGGGGTCTTTGATATCAGCCTTTCCACGGCAATGAGAAATGTAGATGGAGTCTGTGAATGGGAGGTTAGCTTCAGTGATGGTTTGGGCTGTGCTTGAGGTGGTTTGAGGTTACTTATGGTTCTGGGCAGCAGTTGCCATACCATGCCATTATGCACCCAGATAGAATGCTTTCTGTGGTGCATCTATCAAATTTGGTGAGGGTCCACATAGACATGCTACATGCTGAATTGCCGCCTGAGGAAGAAGAGCCATTGTTCTGCGTTCTTGACCGTCGCATCAATGTGGGTGGTCCAGGACAAATTGTTGGTTATCATCACTCCTAGGAACTTGATGCTCTCTACCCCTCTCCACCTCAGGTCCGTTGACATAGACAGGGGCATGTCCTCCTCCTTTCTTCCTGAAGTCAATGATCAGTTCTTCTGTTTTGCTGACATTGAGAGCGAGATTATTATCATTGTACCATGACACCAAGCACTGTATCTCCTTCCTGTATTCTGACTCCTCGTTGTTTAGTTTTCGACCAACAACGACTTGAGTCCTTTAGCATGCTGGCCCATTTCTGACCTAACCTCTTCCCTTGCACTGAGTATACCAATGTTCCATCATTTACTGTTCCTGTTGAAACAGGTAGGCGTAGGTTTCTGCCACCAATTTACCTCCTTTCAAAACAAAAAGAAGGAAATAACTTGCATTTCTCTAGCATTCTTCAAAACCAATAAATTAATTTTGCAGTATGCCATGGTAATGTAGGAAACACGACAACTAAGTTGCACACAGCAAGCTCGCAAGTGACACCATGATAACCAGGTAATTTGTTTAACCAGTATTGGGTGGGTGTGTTGTATTGTCCATGGGATTTCCTACATCTGCTTAAGAAGGCAGGTTGGACTGTGGTTGCGCATTTCTTCTGACTCACTTGCTGATAATGCAGCACTCCCTCAGTACTGTGCTAGACTTCCAGCCTGGCTTATGAGCTGTCTAAAGATCTATCTGCTATGGAGTTAGTCCCCCTGACTCCATGGCTGCTGAACCTAACTGTACTGAAAGGAGGAATTAAATTGGTAATCTCTATTTAAGTGTATTGAGTAACGAATACATGTACTCAGTTTGTTATTCTCAATTCCAGGACTTATACATTGATAGGCCGTTGCCATACATCATTGGCTCACAGCAGTTTATGGAGGAAGAGGATGTCGGCTTAGGTGATCTCTCCAGTGAAGGTATTGACATCGAGGGTGAAAGGGGTTGGCCATGTTATCCACTGAAACATGCCCATCTGATGTGTACTAGTCTCTGATTGTTTTCTACAAAATGTCTTTGTAATCTTTGAAGCTCACTTAAAGAGTTTAGAGAGTTATACCTCACTTCACAGGACTGAGAAAATTACATAATGTGCTGTTTAGGAAATAATAAGTGACAAGCCACTCTACATTCGTTGATCATCTGGTATAGGAGCATTGAAGGTCTTTGAGAGGGTGATGCTGCATGCTAAGGAGAAAGAGGGAAATTCAAGGGGGAAGCAAAAGGTGTTGTTGGAGAGAGGTCCTCTGAGAGACTTTACAAAATGGGGGAGTGGGTTACTGATTGCATTTTGGAACAGAGTTCTACAGGGTGGAAAGCAGCAATTGAAGGTTTGGCATCTGATGGAGAAAGAGACAAGCCATAATCTGGATCTTGGGGGGAGGTGGGGGGATGGTTCAAGAGGCTTTGCAAGTTGCTGGGATTTGCTCCGAGCAATATGAACTCTCATGGGGGTGAAGGGCCTTTTCAAATTGACTTATTTGGCAAGTTTTCCAAGACTGATGGCACCAGTTGCTGAAATTGGTACCGGAGCAGCAAAAATTGAGGGTTTACTGGCTTGTTAGTGAGACATGGAGCCTGGTGCGGAAGCATGTGAAAAATTTGTTTTAAGTTCAATGTAGGGCAAGTTCAGCAGTGAAAAGGCTATGGAAACAGAGGGTTGGTTGTTATGCCACGTTTTCTCAATCTTCTCTTCTTCTGAGGCCCACCAGCCTCTCAAAAATCCAGAGACCCCTTGTAACATGAATTAGTATTAGTGATTGCCTTCCTCCTATCTTCAAGAAAGATGAATCAGCACTTGAGTACAAATGGTATTGACACATATATGACTTTCGCAACTTTTGACATGGTCTGTATCTGCAGTATGACAATCAGATCATTTTTCCAAATTAGATGAATATTTACATTTCATGCAGAAATCTCGCAATGATAATTTAGGATTCTGTTTCCCATATTTGAAAAGCAGTCAAACTGAATGTTTCAAAGTTCAGTGTTAATGTTTGTGGACTAAACGAGGCTGTTCAAATGCAAGATGGCCATTTGAGGAGGTGATTTGCGGCTTTGACGCAGAAAATTATAGTTTAGTGTTTTCGGCCTGTCTCTCATTTTACAAGAAAATCAATCTTCATTTTACCTAAAAATGTGAACCCATTATTCAGAGGAAATATGTTTTTACATCAACAGTATTTTGAAACAGATCAAACTTATCATACTCCAGTGTCTGTGGAGCGCTTTAAAACGATATCCATGGCATTGCAATCCTATTTAAAATCAGGCAGCCCATAACTGCATTGCACGGACAGGCAGATGAATCATTTTGTGAGCATTAAGCTAATGGGTAACATTATAAAGTGAAGTGTGTTGCAAAAAACAAATGCAAAAACAATTATTATGGTGTGTGTCAAATAAAATGCTCCATGATTCCCTTTGTATTACTTTGCCACATTCGAAAGTTAATCATTTTTAAGCAATGAATTACCAGAATGACAGTCACTGTTCCCTGAGGTCTGGCTCACGTTACCACACGTTACTGAAAGATATAGAGATGGCTGCACCAGCCACATTCTGAAGAGTAGGCTGTCTCCTTTTTTATATAGATGTATCCAGTTCTAAAATCTGTCCGAGAAGATCTTTTTGTTGGAATAGATTAGCAATCCTTCAAACTCTGTATCAGTCCACAGAAGAGTAATTGGTGCTTTGGCATTATGACATAGTAAAATTCCTGATAATAATTGAATGTGAAGCAACAGCCAGTTAATGTAAGATGAAGGTTTGGTGGACCCCAGATCCCACAACCTCATCCAGTAGGCTTCACCCTCTGTAATACAAGAGTGAGAGTAATAAAGCTTGGAGTAGATGACATGGTTTGCCACACCTGCTCACAGTGGTGTAGAGTGGTAGCCAACTTCACCTTTACTAATCCTGAACTGAATGTTTCTACAATGGGTGTGGATTCCTTTCCCTAGCATCAAATATACCTTGTCTTAGTGGAGCAGGATTTAAAGGATGAAGTCCTTCTTGATTTAGGTAGACCTTCTACTGTTTCCAATTTAGTGTGTCTGACCTCCGCTATGATGCTTTGTATTTAAGTCAGCTGATCGGCAATACTGACTCCCCTAATACAGCAATGATCTGCCAAGACTAGGGATGGCACAGGTTGAAATCTGGGCTAGGTGTGCAGCTACTACAAGCGGCCTGTTGGCTAAGTGAGGAATCGTTGTCTAGTAACTTCTGAAGTGTACCTGTAAGGACAGATTTGGGCTCAGTTGTCAAGCTTTCCCCATCATACTCCTTCCCCACACATCCCAATTCCTTAAGTTATCTCAAATGGTCTGAGAAAAACAAGTCCTACTTTCGGCAGATGGGAAGGTGGGGTGAAAGTTGGCTGGAGGGGGAGCAGGGAGAAAAATGTGTTTGAGCTCATTTTTCATCAAGAGATTCCAACAGCCTTGTTCTTATTTTCTGTTAAAAATATTAAAATACTCCTCCCTCCTTCATACGAGACTTCGAGCCTTCCATGTTTCTGATATCCTTGCTGCATGACTTGATCATTTATATTTTCTGTGTTTCTACAGAGTCTGTGGACAGTGAACATGGCAGTGTTATTGAAAGTGAGGAGGAAAAAGAGGTGAGCAGAAACAGTGGTTTATTTTGAGGTACCAGTTTCTGTACCACCCATGTGAAGTGGGGGTTTAATGGACGTGGGGGCTATCTTGATCTACCAGCTGGCATCATGCTACCATTGTTTTCATGCTCTATTATTCTGGTCTACCAGAGGGGGTTGTCAAAAGGATCTATTCACTTCAAACTTTCACCTAATTTAGAGTTAAGTTGCAGAACCATCCCAGCTTAGCACAACTTAATGCTTCGTTTATCTAAACTATTAGTCCTAAGGCTGTTACACTATTGAGATCAGACATTTTTACATCTTCATGCAATCTCCCCTGCCTCATTTCTCTGTGCTCAGGAGAATTGATGTTGAACAAAATTGGTGCTCTTCAGCTGTGTGCCATTGGTATACTAACTGTAGTGATGTGTCCTTACTCCTTAGTCTTGTAATCAACTTGCTTCATGGATAGTAATGTACAAAGCACAAGCAGCTGTAGAATTTACCCTTACCGTCAGCACAGATGGGATCGGGGAGAATCGTTTCCTGTGTGATTCTAACTCCATGTCAGATCAAGTTATTTCCTGCAAAACATCTTGGCACAATACCTAGTGTACTTGCTGATTACAGTGTGAAAATGAAAGCGTGAGACACAGTTTAAAAAAAAAAAAAAATTAAATCACTGGGAATGTTTTTGTTTGTTATGCACAACTGATTCAGGAGTCTGGGGTTGATTCTGCAGAAGAAAGCGAAGAGGATGAGCAGAAACTGTCAAAGTCAGTCCAAGTAAGTATTTATTTTGAATGCTCAAGTGATGTGTGAATTATGGAATTCCTCAATCCTGTGACTTCTGTTGTTGTGCAGCCACTAACTTGTATAAATTGTTTCAAGAGCAGTTAATTTTTTTAAATTGCAGTTTAGTAACATTTACATGTTTTAAACTGCATTATGATAATAAAAACAGTTATTGTATTTTAAAACCAAAATGCCAATTCCCTCAACAGCAGTCTGTTCACTTGAAAACCAAACTGTAGAATTTCAGGCTGAATGCTCAGTCTGTGTAATCTTATTCCTGGGCCAACAGCTACTCATGGCCTCTGCTCCTGAGCTGGTATGAAGGAACAGGGTCAGTTTGTGTTCTTGATCCAATGGCAAATCCATTTTGAAATCAATCCCTATTTGTGAGCTCACTCCTTTCATTGAGTTAGCACCTGCAGGGAGAGTGTGGAAATTAATAGTTTTTTTTTAAATGCTCCAAAATATCTGGCCGGATGGTGTGACACTGAGTGAGTGACAGTGTGCACTTCACACCTCATCTGATTCCCATACTGTCACACTGCCTAGTTAAATGAAAATGCGAAGGAGAGTCTGGAGGCAGATGGGTTGCAGCCAGTTCTCTAGACAGATCTAATAAGCTTTGCTGTTCCTGGAGAGTGGCCTGTGTACATTTGTTTTGCTGTCTGGAGATGGGTAAGGAAACAGAAAACCTTAAGATTATTACAGAATTTATATTTTAAAAAATTGCTGCCCAACAGAGGGTGAGCAATTAAGCAATTTATATAGTTGAATCATGTAGTCACAGAATGCCGTTTAAAATATTTGCATACTTCTCAAATAGCTAGTCAATCGTTTAAGTTTTGGAATAATTTTACTCTGTAAAAGCCTCAACTTAAAATTCTCATGCCTTGGCTTTGTGCTCCCTATTTCTCTAACCTCCTACTCCACATGCCTTCATTATATCTGCACTCCTCCAGTTGTTGTTACCTCTTGCACATCTCTGGTTTTCAACACTTCCTCCAGTAGCTATCATATCATCAGGTGTCTGGTCTAAAGGTCCTAGGATTTCTGTAGTAATTTTCTGTACCCTGCTGCCCTCCTTCAAGAGGCTTCCTAAAACCTACCGCTTTGACCAATCTTCTTTGTCACCCATCCTAGTATTGCCTCATATAGCTTAGTGTCAGATTTTGTTCAATGTTTTTGTAGAGTGTCTTGGGTGGTTATTCCATGACTTAACAAAAAGTTGTTGTTGTTTTAGAAACAGCGGCAGATCAGTGAGGATGAAGATGATGATTCTGACCTATTTCATGAGTCTGAAAAGGAAGAGGATGTTGAAGACTTGACAATCACGGTGAGGAGCTATTTACAGCCTGGTGAAATTGAATATTGCTGAAGAGTGGCACGTTATCGGAGCTGTTCGTATTGCTCTCTTCAGAAAAGGCACAAGAATGCCAAATTTCAAAGGGAACAACAGTTTATATTGTGTGTGAGGAAAAGATGTTGAATGGCTCAAAAGTTGACCCTGGATGAGACATTGCCATGCTAATGCATTAGGAGCCTTTGTCTCCCATTTTGTGTTTGTTCAAAAAAAATGTCCAGTATCGGTCATATTTCTTTCCTCTATAGAGGAGAGATCCTTACATCTATTCACATGTAACTTCTAGCAAGCTTGAATTGTTAAATTGCATGTTTAACTGATAACATTAAATTGGTTGTCAGTGTAAATTGTTGTTCCTTTTTGAAATTTGGCATTCTTGCATTTGCCCTGATCAGTGCAAGGTGAAAAGGCTAGGACAGGATTTTTTTTTTTTAGCAATACTTACGGTCTGTGCTGCCAAGCAACAATCTGAAATTGCACAGATGGGAGTAATCTTAAAGGACTCCTTTCACTCGCACAATATCTTCATCTTCTTTTCTTTGCAGAAAAAGTTGGGACAGACTTCCTTTGCAGAAGAATTAGCCGCACGAATTCAAGGAGAAAGCACGGAGAAACAACGTGAACAGAGTGCATGTAATTATTGCCCATTTTATTGGGGGGAAGTGAAGAGGAGGCTATAGCCCTGTGAGGCGATAGATTTCTTTAATACGATCAGTTTATCATGTACCTCACACTAATCGAACCTTGTTTGAATTTCTTTGTAATCATTTTCTACAGCTTTGACCTCGGGGGTTTCGGCACGGAACAATCGAGTAAAGACCAAAACAGAAGCTCAAAAAGCTAAAGGTCAAGGTAAAAAATAAGATTTTGGACATGTTATTCTAACTGGAAGTCATGGGCTGAGTGTTGACATGGTGAGCTTGACTGAACTGGGAGCGCCCTCTGTGAGGGGCCAAGATTTTGACAACAAGGGAGTGGAAGGGTTACTTGGATGGGTAGGAAAATGGAGTTGAGGCTGCACTCAGATCAGCCAAGATCTTATTGAATGGACAAATGCAGGCTTGTGGGGTGAATGGCTGCTGCTTCCTAATTCATGTGCAAGGAGGAACTGTATTCGGGTTGACTGTTTATATATGGAAGCTCCTGTGTCTAATAAACACTTTCAGGAATTATCCCACATCGGACTGCTAATCTATGCTGAGTTGGCTGACTCCAGTCACTACAATGGTGGTGAAGCTAGAACTGGCATTGTCTAGATGGTTCAGTAACAATACAGTGATGTTGAATTGATTTAGTTTCATCATTTCACCTCCTTACTATGTAATTGTTCCTGTTAGACCAAGGGAAAGGCAGTGGCATGGTATATTCACTGAAATGGTAATCAGGAAACCTAGACTAATGCTGTGGGGAGTAGGTTCCGCCACAACTGGTGGAATTTAAATTTAGTTAATAGATCTGGAATTAAACCCTAATAATGGAAACTGTTCTTATTACAAAAAAAATTCTGGATCACTAATGCCATTTAGGGAAGGGGATCAGCTGTTCCTCCCTGACCCTGGCCTACATGTGACTCCAAATCTCCAGCAATATGATTGGCTCTTAACCTCACTCACAAATGGATGCGTCTGTCACTCTGTTGCATTAAACTCAGTTGCTACCGTGTTAAAGATGTGTATCAGCACCACAACAAATGGAGTTGTTCAAAAAGGAGACTCACCCCACTTTACCCAAGGCAGTTAGGGATGGCAATAAATGTTGACTTAGCCAGTGAGACCCACATCAAATGAATAAACAAAAATAAACAGTGTGTGCGTTAGGATTACACTCCTAATTCTTAGCCTGTCATCAGAACTTTAATTACTACTTGGAGGAATATAGGAAAGTGGAAGCTTCAGCATTCATTTCCTTTTGAAAGGAAGTCAACAAAAGTACCTTTTAATGCAAAGCATTGAGTGTTATCATTCAAAATGTTCGAGCCTCTCAGGATATTGATAGATTCTGAGTTATTAAAATCATCGAGGATAGTGTGGGCAAACTTGCGTTGAGGAAGACGACCAGCCCTGGTCTAAATGAATGGCAGAGCAGGTGTGAGGGGCTGATGGCATATTCCTGTTACTGAACATGTGGTTGGGAGCACATCTCAGGGTTGAATACAGCGTCAAGTTTGCAAATTGTCTGATGCAGCTGCAGACAATTGCCACAACAGGGAATGGGGTTGCTGGTCAGGGATTAGAGTTTCTGATGGGACCAAAGACAATAACTTTGGTCTTCTGAATGTTTCATTGACGGGCGTTTCTGCTCATCCAGTACTGAATGTGCGCAAGCAGTGAAACAGTTGAGATAGTGTTGCGTTTGAGAGATGGTGGTCAGGTAGGGGTGGTGTTGTCATTGGACAAGTGGAAACTGGCATTGTGCTTTTAGTAAGGGAGAACCAAGACTAGTCACTAAGCTGGCAATTTGAAATTGATGTGGATGCATTTGTTTACATATAAAACATAATTGGGACATAGATGGAACAGGCAAAAATATTCCTGTACATTTCTTGTGGGTACACAAAATATTAGAGACACCTCTAAAGTTTTGAAATGCAAAATTTACAACAATTTATTAACCAAATGTTTTGCAGCATACAAATTACAATTGGCAAGTGAGAGCCGGTGCTTTTGTAAGAGGGAAGAGCTCCAGACTGCAAGAGGGTGTAACAGATTCGACTAGGGACTTTCAGGAAAGTCACTCCAATTCACTCTCCTGACCACTGAAATTACAGAATAAAATATTTAATGAGAAGATGATAGTGGGATGTGAACAAAGGTGATAGACCAGTATCTTTGCCCACTCCAAATTGTGTTTGAAGATGATGCTGAGTTAATGCCCTGAACTGCTGTAATCCACTTGGATAAAACTCTCTTCAGTGATTTTAATTTTGAATCTGACATAGAATAAACAGAGGGATAATTCCAAGCCAGGACTGTATGAGTTTTTGAGGGGAGCTTATAGGTGGTGTTGTAGGACATGATTTGTAAAGTGCTGTCAAAGCAGTTTATCTTGTAGTTTGTCTGTGTATGCTCCCACTGTGTGTCATTGGGGAAGAGGATGAATACGAAGGTGGTGGATGGGTGTGTTGCTTGGTCCCACATCACGTTGAGACTCATGAGTGTTGTTGGAGCTGTACACTTCCAGGCAAAGGGGAGTATTTCATCACACTCCTTTTTAGATGGTGGTACACGACCTGGGGAGTAAGGAGGTGCGTTACTTGTCACTTAATCATTGGGTCTACTTTTTGAGAAAAAGGATCTCTGTTCTGAGCATGGATCCAGGAAACTGAAGTCAGACTATAAAGAGAAGTTGTTTGGAATTTGCTGAGATCCAAGTACTGGTAAAGTACACGTAAAAAGGGGCATAGGAAGAAGGACTCCTATTCACTGCTGTGAGAACAACAGTTTGTTGTAACCGAGGGCATGCAGTGGGTGGCCCCAAATTACAAGAAGTCTCAATAGAATGTGGATCTGGTAGTGAAGCTGGTTTGTCCCTACCGTGTTAGGAACTTTCCAGCTGCTTGTAATACCATTAATATTCATAAGCAGCACCTGCTACATTAACTGGTAGTGGATGCAGGAATCTTGCACCAACGAGATTTCAATGTCATGATATTTCTTAAACGTCTGCTGCTCTTGAGTGATCAAGTTGCTCCCATTTGCGTGTAGCAGGTTTGTGACCTCTGGACAGCGGAAAATACCCCCTCCATACATAACCCATGTGCTGGAGGATGGAATCATTGTATTGGTATACACTACAGTTTGGACAGAGCTGGTTGTTTATGAATTATTTTACAACATTTTTTATTCCATGCCTTAGAAGATGAAGAGAACTTATTCACATCTCAGATTGCTGATGAAGATGATGATTTCTCTCCATTTCGCAGCAAAAGTGGCCTGTTCAGTGGGGGGAAAGGTCTCTTTGATGACGATGAGGTGGGTACTGAGATATTGCTGTTTAGAAATTTAAAGTTCAAAATCTTAATATTGAAAAATGATATTTGTGATACAAACTGACAAGTGCTTGTGTGTCTCTTGAATGTGAGAATGATTTTCTAAATGTAGATTGTTTACACGTGCAGACCTCCCATCTTGAGAACAAGGCATAAACCTTGTGGTTGAGTATGTGTGCTTGCTACAGAGATGGGCATATTTTAGTGTAAGCCTGTTTCTACTTGATATGGAGACTTGTTTCTCCAGCTGCTGAGCTTCTGTGTTCTCAATGTCTCGATGTTCTCCTGATATTACTGATGTGCTGGAATTGGATCCCAGCACATTGTTTCTAAACAAAAAACACAGGAGGAAAATGTTCTAAATGAGTAATTAGGATCTGGGGTAGTTGAGGCAGATAGATTTATGGTTTCCAAAGAGAAATGGGTAATTGGGAGAAGAGAGAAAAAATTGTAGGGTTGCAGAGAAAAGGAATGGGGCTGATGGGACTTGCTGAACTCTTGGAAAGACGTGGAATGTAAAAGATGGGCCGAATGACCACATGCTGTGCTGTAACTATTCTGTGATGCCATGATCAACTGTTGTGATTCCACTTCAGCTGGGATTGCATCAGGCGGGGATGCGGTTAAAGGCCAGATTGGAGTCTAGAATTCCAGATTTAACGTGTGACTGTGTCAACACTACATTTTGGTTTACAGGAATGTTTCTTGCTTTTCTAGGGTGACCTTTTTGCTGAGGCACCACAAGAGGAACTCAACAAAGGGAAGGAAGTCAAACCAGCTGTTTTTGGTGAGAGCATTGAGTATTGAAAACCAGTCTCTAACACTTGCATGGACTTAGTGCGATGATTTTCCAAAAAGAATATTCAGAAATGGTACATGTGTAGTTTTTCTGGAGCCTGCTTAAAACAATGTGTCCAGCATTACATTGTGTGGCAGTTCAGATCTAAGTTAGCCTGTTGTAATTAAAACTGACCTATAGATTCAACGACAACAAAAACAAAGTTGGTGGAAAAGCTCAGCAGGTCTGGCAACATCTGTGAAGGAAAAAACAGAGTTAACGTCTTGGGTCCGGTGACCCTTCTTCAGAAGGAGGAAGGGTCACTGGACCCGAAACATTAACTCTGTTTTTTCTTTCACAGGTGCTGCCAGACCTGCTTTGCTTTTCTAGCAACTTTTGTTTTTGTTCCTGATTTACAGCATCCACAGTTCTTTCGGTTTTTATTCTGACCTATAGATTGGCAGTTGCGGAGTGCTTTTAGAGCTAAATTTGCCTCTGGCCTGGAGTATAATCATAACATTGTGTTTGACAAGTTAGATTTAATTAAACTGCTTCCTCTCAGATGCCTTATTTGGTTCCGAAGCCTAAAGAAGAATGAAAGGTGACCTTACTTAAATAAGATTCTTAGGGAGTTTGACAAGGTAGATGTGGAGATCTTGTTTTCCCTAGTCTAGGACCAGAAGGCATAATCTGAGTAAGGGATTGTCCAATTAGGACAGAGATGGGAGGAATTTATTACCTCTGAGGGTGGTAAATCTGTGGAATTTTTTATTATGGGGAGATGTCGAGGCTGAACCATTAAGTATATTCAAGGCTTAGGTGGTCAGATTTTTAATCGGTTAAGGCAGTCGAGGTATGTGGAAAGTGGAGTTGAAGATTCAGATCAGCCATGATCTCACTGAATGGCAGGGCAGACACAATGAGCCAAATGGCCTACTTCCATATGTTTAAAGGTCTAAAAGTGCAAACTTCATGAAAGGGTTGCTTACTCACCTGGTCTTTGGAGTTCTGCACTATTGCTTGTACCATGTCCTGCTTCTAGGATTACAGTGCCTACCATTTATAGGGAACCTTCTGGCTCTGGGCTGTTTTGCCCATCATATGAATTAGATGATAAAATGAGTAAGCGCTTAAACAGCATCACCTCATTCAGGATGGTTCTCAAATATCTTGCTAATCAGCATTTTCAGAAATACACACCAGTTGGAGCAGGTGGGACTTGAACCTGGTCCAGCGGTGTTCCACAGGAATTGGCGCCAGCTGAACTTTTGTCCAAATTTATGTCAATGATTTGGATGAGAGTTTGGGAGGCATGGTTATGTGCAAGTGACACCAAAACTAGTGGTATAGCCGACAGAAGAAGGTTATCTGAGATTACAAAGGCATCTTGATCAATTGGGCCAGTGGGCTGAGGAGTGGCAGATGGAGTTTAATTTGGATAAATGATTGTATTGTATTTTGGTAAAACAAACAAGGGCAGGACTTAGAGTCAACAGATATGAAGTTGGAAAAGCACAGCAGGCCAGACAGCATCTGAGGAGCAGGAAAGTCAACGTTTCAGGCCGAAACCCTTTGTCAGAACTGAGGGTGGTGAGCCCAGAAGTAAATGGGGGTGGGGGGTGGGGTTAAGAATGGGGAAAGGGTAGGTGGGATGGTGATCGGTGGATGCAGGTAGGGAGTTATTGTGATTGGTCAGTGGGAAGGGTGGAGTGGGTAGGTGAGTAGGAAGATGGACAAGTTAGGTCAGGTCAGTAAGGTGAAGAGAGGGGGAGGGCTGGACATGGGATAAGGTTTGGGCTGGAGAGATTTTGAAGCTGGTGAAGTCATTATTGAGGCCATCGGGCTGTAAACTCCAAGGCGAAATATCAGGTGGTGTACCTCCAGTTTGTTTGGTCTCACTCTGACAGTGGAGGCGGCCAAGGATGGACGTGTTGCTGGGGGAGTGGGAGGGGGCATTAAAGTGGTTGGCAACCAGAAGGTCGGGTTGGTTGATGTGTGCAGAGCGTGGATGCTGCGCAAGCTGGTCCCCGAGTCTGCATTTAGTCTCCCTGATATAGAGGAGACCACATCGGGGGCAATGGATACAATAGATCAGCTTGGATGAAGTGCAGGTGAATCTCTGCCAGATCTGGAAGGATTGTTTGGGGTCTTGGACTGAGGTGAGGGGGGGGGAGGTGTAGGGACAGGTGTTGCACCTCTTGCAGTTTGCAGGGAAAGGTAGCGGGTGTGTTGGAGAAGTTGGTGGGGAGAGTGGAGCTGACGAGGGAATCACGGAATGAACAGTCCCTGGGAAAGCAGACGGGTGGGCAAAGAAGTGTCTTTTTGGTGGTGGGGTTTGATTGCAGGTGGCAGAAATGTTGGACAATGATGTGTTGGATTTGGAGGTCGGAAGGGTGGAATGTGAGGACAAAGGAGATTCTATCCTTGTTGTTGGGGGGAGGGCGTTTGAGGACAGAAGTTCAAGAATTGGAGCAGATGTGGTGAGGGCATCCATAATTTCAGAGGAGGAGAAACTACGTTCCCTAAAGTAGGATGATATCTGGGATGTCCTGGAGTAGAACGCCTCCTAGGAGCAGATGTAGCAGAGGAATTGAGAGTATGGGATCGCATTTTTGCAGGAGTGTGGGTGAGAGGCGAGGTAGTTGTGAGAGTCAGTAGGTTTGAAATGGATGTCAGTGGTGAGTCGGTTTTCATAGAGACAGAGGTCCAGGAAGGAAGTGTCAGAAATGGTCTGTGTGAATTTGAGGGTGAGGTGGATGGTGTTGGCAAGGTTGATGAATTGCTTGAGCTCCTCACAGGAGCACAATGCAGCACCGATACAGTCATCAATATAGCAGAGAAAGAGTTGGGGCATGGTGCTGGTGTAGTTGTGAAGAGGGACTGTTCCGCAGATCCTACAAAGAGGCAGGCAGAGCTTGGGCCTGTGCAGATATCCATTTGGTTTGTAGGAAGTGGGAGAAATCAAAGGAAAAATTGTTGAGGGTGAGGACCAATTCTACCAAGTGAATGAGTGTGTTAGTGGAGGGGGTCTGGTTGGGCCTAAGGGAGAGAAAGAAGCAGAGGGCTTTAGGCCCTCCGTGTGGGGGTGTACAGGTGTAAAGGTGAAGATGAGATGTTGGGGGCCGGGGAATTGAAAGTTTTTGGAAAATATGGAGGGCGTGGGTCACGAATGTAGGTAGGGAGTTCTTTGACCAAAGGGGAAGGAATGGAGTCAAGCTAGGTCCATGCCCATCCTTGGCCGCCTCCACTGTCAGAATGAGGCCAAACATAAAGTGGAGGAACAACACCTGATATTTTGCTTTGGGACCTTACAGCCCAATGGTCTCAATATTGACCTCACCAGCTTCAAAATCCCTACAGCCTTCTCCCATGTCCAGTCCTCCCCCCTCCTCCTCACCTCTCTGACCTGACCTAACCTGTCCATCTTCCTATTCACCTATCCACTCCATCCTTCCCACTGACCAAACACAATAATTCCCTACCTGCATCTAATGATCACCATCCTACCCAACCTTCCTCCAGCCCCATGCCGCCTCCCTCTATTTAGCTCTGGGCTCCCCTACCCCTTCCCAGTCTTGTCAAAGGGTTTTGGCCCAAAACATTGACATTCCTGGTCCTCAGATACAGTCTGATCTGCTGTGCTTTTCCAGCTTCACACCTAATGACTCCGGCTTCCAGCATCTGCAGTCCTTACTGTCTCCAAGGGAGGACTTATACAGTTAATGGTGGGGCCCTGGATAGTGTTGTCGTACAGAGAGACCTCGGGGTTCAGGTATATAATTCTTCGGAAGTTAGACACGGTGATTAAGAAGGTGTTTAGCACGCTTGCCTTCATTGCTCAGACCTTTGATTATAGGAGTTTGGACATCATGTTGAGGTTATACAGGATGTTGGTGAGGCCTCTTCTGAGATACTGTGTGCAGTTCCAGTCGCCCTGCTATAAGAAGGATATTATTAAGCTGGAAAGGGTTCAGAAGAGATTTACCAGGATGTTGCCAGGACTGGAGGGTTTGAGTTATAAGGAGATTCTGGATAAGATGAATAGCAAAGGTCTTTTCCCAAGGGTGGGTGTGTACAAATCTGGGGGACATGTTTTTAAGGTGAGGGAAAAAAGATTTAAAAGTGACCGGAGGTGCAACTTTTTCACATGCAAGGTGGTTCATGTGTGGAATGAACTGACAGAGGAAGTGGTGGATGCAGGTATAATTACAACATTTTAAGACATTTGGATTGGTACATGAATAGGAAAGGTTTAGAGGGACATGGGCCAGACAGGCAAGTGGGATTAGTTTAATTTGGGAAACTTGGTTGGCATGGACGAGTTGGACCGAAATCTTTGTTTCTAATAGACCAACAGAGTCCAGTTTCATTGATGTTTCTTGGACTGTTGTCAGAATGTGTCCAATCTCGTGTCAGAAAACAGCAAAAAGTATTTGGTATCTGGAGTCTTGTTGGCGTTTTGATTACTTTTCCCATTTTAAATTTCCTCCTTTAATTTCATAATCAGAACCTGCTGCAAGAAAATCTGGGAAAAAAGTACCAGTTGGAGCAGTTTCTATTTATCCGGGTAGGTTTTCTGTAATCAGTGTTTTTAATAAAAAACACAAAGTAACAGTCTTGTCTTGTGTCTAACCTTCTGTTTCTGTGTTAGTCTTCTATTATTTGCTCTGAGATTTGTGCAATTACCCTGTGACTATAGCAAATCATGGCCCCTTTTTAAAAAGGGGCTTTCAAGTGAAAGGAGCAAGAGAAAAAGAATTAACTGGATAATTGTTTTGACTAGTTGCTGGGTAGGTATCTTATCCCATAATTACTCTTGGATTACAGGGCAGCTTTTATACATTTTGCATCTCTGACATGGCTTAGCATGCTGAGAGATGGCTCTGGACATTGGTGTGTCATTGCACAGCCTTTTGCATATCAGTAACAGGGATTATAAAATTTTGTCCCTGTACCTTAGCAAACTTTCTTCCTGTTGAGGCAGAAGAAAAATGACAAAGGTCAGAAGCCTGAAAGAAACTGAAGATAGTGAAAAAGCAGTATATAGACATGTGCAGCAATAAGCCATCTGGTCCCTCGGGCCTGCTCAGTCTTTCAGAAAGACCATGGCTGATCTGATTGTGACCTTTAGCTCCAATTTCCTACCTCCCTGATAAACGCTTAACTCCCCACAGTCAAGAATATGTCTACCTCTACCTTAGGTGTATTCAAAGTGTCTGCCCCCTCTGTTGTCTGGATAGAGAACTCTATTGACTCGTGATCCTCTGCGAGAAAAAATGTCACCACATCTTTATTTTGTAAAAGGGTCTCCTGGTTCCAGAAGGCTTAACACTTTGAGATGGAGGATCCTCTTCCTAAGTCCCCTCTCTCACTGGCTTTCAAAACTGCTCAGTATTTCAACCACTGTCAATTTTTAATTTCTAGCTGTGCGTCTTTTATATAACTTTACTTATGTCTATTCAGGGACACTTCTGTGACTATTTTGATTCCACTTTTAGATGGAGATTTATTTGCTGCCAGTGTGATTTCTGAGACGGCACGCAGCAAGAAAGCAAAACAAAAGCCAGTAGACACTGGAGGGCTGTTCGATGACGAGGAAGATGATTTATTTGGATCAACTGTGGAAACCTCAGGAGCCGGTAAATCTGGGACTTGATCCAAGCTCCAACATCTGTAGCCATTTCATTAAAATTGTTTTTAGAATGAATCCGATCCTATTTCACACACTACACCCACAAATTTATAGTAGTAACAATGTACTGTGCTTCATGCAACCTTAGAGGTAATTTGGGAAGGCAGTCTCTCTACTTCTCTCCACCATGTTAAGATGCTTCTTGAAATCCACCTCTTCCACTGAGCTTTAAGTCATCTGTCCTAGTGCCTCTTCATGTTCTGTTATATTTTGTTTAATAGTTGCACCTGTTGCACTTCACGATGTTTCATTACTTGACAAACACTATTTGAACAAATTATTCTTCTCAATAAAGCTAGGTAGCAGAGGTCACAGATTTGGGAAGTGCAATCAAAGTGAGAGTGAGTTATGGTCAGTCAACATGCTATGACCACATTCAGCAGCTTTTGATACTGTTGTGAAGAAACCCTGTAATTGAACCTTTGAGCACTGCACATGAACATTAGTGATCTCCACTGGTAACCGCGTCTCGTCATTTGGAAGTGCAGGGGATCCTCAACAAGAGGGAGGAACGCATAAGTGATTCATCCAGTCCCTGCTATGACTAATAGTGGAATTTGAAATTATTGTGTATGGTGGAAAGAAGGCTTGAATGCTTTAATCCATTTGCTCTTGCTTTCATACTTCAAGCTTACAGTTATATTCTGTGATAAATGCTATTTATTTCACTATTTAATGATTTTGCATCAGCATTTCCACCTTTTGTAATTTCTATCTTAGCTAAAACTGAAAGCAAGCTGGCCACAAGTCTCTTTGATGACAGTGAGGACAGTGGGCTCTTTGAAACAAGTGTAACGCCAAAACCAGTCAAAGGGAAATCAGGAAGACAGCAGGTGAGTTAGTATTTTAGAATGATAGGACCATTTGTGAAGTGTAAATGCTGATTTATAAAATAACTTCAACAATTTATCCATTCCATTTTTATCGTAGTCATTCAGCATAGAAACAGACCCTTTGGCCCATCATGTCTCTGCTGACCACCAAACACCAAAATATATGATATCTTGAACTGTGTATATTGGATGATTTTGTGTTTTTTTTTAAATTGCTGAAAATGATTGTGGAATGATCCACGAGTGCAACCCTTCAGTAAAGAATGGAGAAAGTAGGAAATGGGGAGTGGGTAATAGAGCTTTGTAGGGAAAAGAGGCCTGGACGGGAAAGAAGTTTG